GAGAGAGAGAGAGAGAGAGAGAGAGAGAGAGGAGAATAATTGAAGAGGAGAAAGAAAAGAGGGAGAGAGAGGAGGTATTCCTGTGGGTTTGTTGGTTACACAATCAACCCATTTGAGATGATGGAGATTGGCAGAGAGGTGATTTTACATTCCCTCACACGCTCTTTAAGGTACTTATAATGGACCTGATGTTACCATGGCGACCAAGCATTCCCAGCCAAAAAGAATGTAGTCTTAAATTTTTGGAGGAAAGCCGAGACACAAACGTCAGAATGAAACTGTGGAAGATATAATATAAAGCCCACATGACATATTTAAACAGCGGTGAGAGCACAAACAGACAGAAAGACCATCGATACGGAGCTTTAACTTTAACAGAGTTAATCTTGCATTAGAACGTTTAGTGTCGTATGAGTCACATAAAACATGCAGGGGGAATGAGTGAGAGTGGGAGAGCAAGGAGCAACGGAGAGCAGGGACGCAAAGTGAAAGAGACAGAGACAGAGAGAGAGAGAGAGAGAGGGAGAGAAAGAGAGAGAGAGAGGCCGTTTAGTCTCGAATGCTCAGAGCAGTCTATTGTTCAGCGTTATGGCACAGAATTACATATCTATGATTAGAAAGAACAAACCATGCAAACATTTTTCAGGAATAGTTTGGTTGCAGCCCGGGGGAGTTCAAACGTTTCAGACATCTATCATGCAAAGTCAGGTGGTTGCAGCAGAAACATTCTGTGCTTCGAAGAAAGAAATGAAAAGCATGTCAAGCCACAACAAGAATTTTTGTTTCAAGCAGACAAGATGAAGTGTCCACAACCGGACGTTCTGAACTGATGTAGGAGCCAGAATAACATGCTAACATTTAGCATTAGCGTATACTTCCATAAAGCAATCCAAGGGAAGTGGTTCCCAAACTAGGGGTTGGGAGCCCCTGAGCAGTCACGGCACAGAAGCAAGATTTAAAAACAATCCTGAATTGTTCCAAAAGCTAAAGTTAAATTAAAAATATAATAATCATCTTAGGGATTTTCTTTGTCTCAATGTGCAGAATCATTTGCAGCAGGTCAGTTTACAGCGTGAATGTGATTTTATTGGGAACTGTAGCTCAAACACAATAATGGGGGCTGCATGTCTATGTCATGGTTATTTGGGGGGTTAGGGGCTGGAAAATGGGAACCCCTGATGTAGGGAATGTCAAACAACAATTCAACTGAGGGACAGAAGGACATTATCATCCAGTCAAGCTATAGCAGGGCTAAAAATCCTCTTGTTGTAAAAGCCCTGGTCAAACATCCAGTCTTCCAATATCTGCTGTAATGTCATTAACCTGCTGCAGGTGACCTTCACTGCACACTTATTCACAAACTCAGTGAACCCTGGAGACGGATTCAACATCTGTAAGAGGAGTTCCAGCTGTCAGGAGGGCGCTGCCCTCTCTGCACAAATGAAAGCACAAATATGTCAGGTCATACAGTGGCTGCACTTACTGTACTTCATAAATAAATCACTGCTTACACGGACGTCAATTTCTTGCACATGACGGGTTCACAATGTTCACCAGCATCTGATCGATATGCAGATGTGAGGTGATGGTGTCAGGTAACACATGTTCCCTGTCTCTTGTTGAATAGTTGATGATGTGACAGAGGTGGTATGAGAATAATAAAAAAAACACATTAAACATTTATAATGCACAAACTGCTCAGTGTGCACACTGTGACTGCTTGTTCTGTTTGTAATGACGAATGAATAAATGATTGTGCATGCATGAAAAAGGGATCTTACAGCAGAAATCATATGGAACATGAGGGAGGAGGAGTGTTAGAATAAGTGTTTTGCGACAACGCAGGAAAATACCAACTTCTGAAAGTGACAATTCAGCCTCGTTGAGAATTGTAACACGTTTATTTTTCACACAGTTTCTCCACTATACAGGTTCTCCAAAAAAATCAATCAATTCCTTCCTTTTCTGCAGAATTTAAAACATTACTCCCCAGCTGCAGTTTACACAGGCGATAATCTTCAGAGCTTTGCAATCAATAAAGCTGTCACTCACAAACAATTTCCCATGTATTGAAAAGCACTCAGCGGAGCTCTGCTGTTATTAATCATGATGCACCGTCTACGCGTTTGTGTTTTTAGAGAAACGTTAGATTTTGTACGAATATCAAAATCACAATTTCCTGCACTTTGCCATCCATTTAACAAGGTCGCAGTACAGTCTTTTAAAGTGTGAGCTACTCAAAGACGTCTCAGCAAGCGAAGTTCAATCCATTACAGCTCTGTTGTTTTATGGGGATGGTTTCAAAGACTTTAAAGCCGTCTCGCTAAAGTGAAAACACTTTCGCTGTTATTATGTCGTACACTTAAACAGCTATCACCGGGAAAATCCCATTTAAATGCAACAGCGAGCAGACAGCAGCCTGTGGTGACCGGCACTAAAACATACCCACAGTTGTTGCCTCTTGTTGTTCATCTTATGTAATTTAGGACTGTAATTCAACAAGGATTTCAGCTGACCTGGAAAAACTGGAAAATTTCACACTTTACTGAGTGCCTTCATACATGAATACACTTTCTGAACATAGATAAAGGGATGAATATTAATAAGAGGATGAGAGTCTGCAGCCATGCTAGCGGCCCATTTACGGGCCTGCTTTACTTGAGAATTTCCATTTTATGCCACTTGACACTTGTGGTATTGTACTTTTTTATTTCACTACATTTATTTGACAGCCAGGCTACAAACCTGGTGGCTGGTAATTTGTCACAATAAATCAGGCACACTTACTTTTATTTGAGTAGAATTATAAAGGCAAGAACTTTACCATTTTCTACATATAATATAAAATGTATATATTATAAATATATTCTACATTGTTGTGTTGGCACAAGGCTCTTTAGAATCTATAAGCACTGCTTCAACCACTGCTATGACTTTGTGAGGTTAGTGATTCAAATAGAAAGTATCATTGTATTTTTGAGATAACAACTATTTTCCTGTAAGGATAACTCATCTTTGGGGGTGTTACATACATTTATAGGATCAAATGTGCTTTGGGAACCAGCAGAGCAGAAGCAAGATTTAGATAATGTTGTTGAGGTCAAAATTATTCATTTAACCCTCCTCCTCCTCCTCCTGAACTGGGTGAGAAAGGTGTGGATGGAGTTGACCAGTCCTCTACAGCCCCGTATCAGACCTGCGTTACATCACACCCACTGTTTCCCTAAAGCCACATCGCTAACCAGGTTAAAAACCTAAAGAGAACCTGCGGGAACGTGGGGAAAACTAAATCAATCAGCTCAGCTACATGCTAACAAAGCCTGTGCAGTCTGTTATGTTCTTTGAAGGTGACTGATCACAGATTGAAATCTTGGTGATTGGTGATATTGGGGACTGATCGCTCATGTTTGCAGCTCAAAGGTTAGAATAACTCAAGAACAAAAAAGCACCAGAGCCAAACCACCCCCTCCTCTGCTTGCTTCTGAATGAAAAGTTGACTCACCACCTTAATTGGGTGAAACAGAGATCCACAAGAGAAATTACACTATAGGAGGCGGACCGAATGCCAGAGGCCTAGTGTGTGTGTGTGTGTGTGTGTGTGTGTGTGTGTGTGTGTGTGTGTGTGTGATGCCCAGAACATGGACTGAGACTCTGAGTCACTGTTTGTCAAAGCATATTCGTCAAGTATAGGTAGAGAAGAAGTGCAGGGCTCCTCGGGGAGCACAGGTACCTAAAGCTGTTTTCAGAGAACTGGGTCCAGACTTTCTTAACAGTTTTCCACACACTTGCAAAACGCAATGGGAGATTCTTCGCTGAAACGCGTTCACAACACCAACTAATTTTCTGCAGCATTAAGATCTGAGGTGGTGCAGCAGTCAGATGTAAAGAATGAAATCTCTAGCTGAGATCATCACCACAAACTGTATGTCTCTGCAGATATCCAGAGATATTTATATTTCCTAATTTTTCATTAATGCATCTGTTGCGTGTTATAAGCATCATCATCCACTCCCCACTCACTCATGGTGAATCCAACGGGGGGAGTCTCTGCTGTGCACTCACATTGAATTCTGCAGACTTTATAGTAGAGGGCCAGTCGGAGAAAGTCTGGACACAAAAACTCCTCTAACTATTTCAACAATCTTTCTTAATTGAAAGAGACAGGACCAAAGAGCATCATGTGCTGACAAAACATCACTTTGGTCCAGACTGAAATATCCTGACCAGTATTGAAGTGATGCCATGAAAAGATTGTGCAGATATTCAGGGTTCCCTGAAGTTTCCTCTGAAGGTGGTGCTGGTTCACTTTGATATACGACCATGAGTGCAAAAGTAATTTCCATCAGCTTCTGCTGTATTTCATACTTAGAAATAACTGAGGAATCCTGCAGGGCAGCTAGACCCTTAGAGCTTTACTTTATGCTCTGAAAGGATAAGGAAGAAGGATTCTATATTTTCTGTCAGTATTGACAAAGAAAATGAATTATTTTGGCCTTTAAATCCACTTGTT